AGCGGGGCTGTCAAGATTAGAACTGATGCCCAGTTCTATATAGGACTTTGCAATAAAAATAAATACATCTTTTTTTTAAAGCTGTATTTTTTAAATTGGAAAGTCAGATACACAGAGAGGAGAGACAGAGAAATATCTTCTGTGTGATGATTCACTCCCCAAGTGACTGCAACAGCCGCAGCTGACCCAATCCAAAGCCAGGAGCCAGAAACTTCCTCCAGGTCTCACACACAGGTGCAGGGTGCTGAGGCCCTGGGCCATCCTCGACTGCTTTCCCAGGCCACAAGCAAGGAGCTGGCTGGGAAGCAGGGCCGCTAGGACACAAGCCAGTGCCCATGTGGAATCCCAGTGTGTGCTAGGTGAGGACTTTAGCCACTAGGCTACCATGCCAGGCTCCCATACTCCATTTCTTTAGGATTAGTTACTGGTTCTTCATTTTGTCCTGGGCGGGGGGGGTGGGGGTGGGTTGTTTCTCAGTTCCAGATCTTTGTGCGCATGTGTTGATGCCTGAATGGCTGGAAAGGTAGGGATTTATTCCAGTCTAAGCAGTTCTGGGACCTGGGTCTATGCAGTGTTCTGCTGTTAGGCACTAGCGTGTGGGGACTGGCTGGGCACCACCCAGGCCTGCAGCCTGAAGCCCAGGGTGCTGATTGGCCTCAGGTCAGTCTTCAATTGGGGGTGGGGGTGGCACTGGACTGTGAGGTAGCCTGGTGGACCCAGAAGCTGCCGCTGGGTACCATCTGGAGTCTGGGGCTCTGCCCATTGCTGAGTTTCACTGGGTGGGCCGGCTGGTCTTGGTGTACCAGGCAAGTGTGGTCTTCAGTCCCTCTGCTTCTCCAAGCACAGGTCTCTCCACGTGGTGGTACGTGGGCTTGGAGGCGATTACTTTAAGCTGTCACTCTTACTCCAATGTCTTGTTTCTGTGCTATACTCAAGGACTGTAGTTCCTTACTTGAATTCATACAGATGTTTTACGCTTAGATAAAAGCCCTGTTGTACCATCCTGTGCAGACTCTTCTAACCAGTTTAAATTCCACGGCTCACCAATGTGTGTTTTTCACCCCCAATGAATCCAGGCTAATTTAACTGTTGAATTCTGGTGTTCACTTTTTTACATTCCCCCAAAGCAGACAATCCTTCTCGGCTCTGGAGAAACTGTTTCAAGGATGACATAATGTTGAATTGACCACCGTCCCCGGGGGGGCCTGTATCTCCTTCATCCACTCCCAGCCTCCAGGCCAGGTCACAGCTCCTCCTCTGTTCTCTGGCTGGAAAATAGGTTTCCTGTGGAGCAGAACCAAGCGCAGCCATCATTGGGTAATGCCCACGAGCTCTGCTGTCCCCCCTGCCCTCCCTGGTGACCTCTTCAGCACACTGACTCCGTTTCTCCTGTTCCAAGATTTTGCCACAGTTCATTTCCCTCCCTCCTGCTGCGGCATCCATTTTTCGGTATTGCTGGTTCCTGTGAGCTCATAAACTATTAGAGTAGTTCAGACTTCCTAACACCTTCCAAGTGAAATCCTCGCGGTGGGCACCATGGCAGGCACTCTGAAGCAAGATGCAACCCGCTACTGCACCTGGCAAAGCCCCTGAAGTGGGCCACGTGCTCAGGCCCCTGCCACCAGGTGGCGCTCCTGGCTCATGCCTCTGGCCTGATCTGACCCCAGCTAGTGCTGGTATTTGGACAGTAAAATCATTGGATGGAAGATCCCTCTAACCTCTCTGCCTTTGAAATATATAAATATTTATTAATAAGAAAAAATGTCTGGCCTGGCACGGTAGCCTAACGGCTAGTCCTCAACTAGTACACGCCAGGATCCCGTATGGGTGCCGGTTAGTGTCCTGGTGCCCTCATTTCCATCCAGCTCCCTGCCTGTGTCCTGGGAAAGCAGTGGAGGATGGCCCAAAGCCTTGGGACCCTGCACCCGCACAGAGACCCAGGAAGAGGCTCCAGGCTCCTTGGATCTGCTTAGTTCCAGCCGTTGCAGCCACTTGAAGGGGTGAATCAGCGGATAGAAGATCTTCCTGTCTCTCCTCCTCTCTGACTTTGTAATAAAAATAAATCTTAAAAAAAAATGTTGCACCAGTCTTTGGCTGTGAAGAATTCTCTGGGTTTTCAGGTTTCTGCCTTTGTAACCACCAGCCCTGGTCCCAGCTCACCTCTTCAGGATGTCTGATCAGCAAGCAGCCAGAGCAGTTCTCTCCGGAGCAGAAAGCAGGCCTGCGGAGCACCAGCCCAGTGAAGACATCAAGTTACCAGTTTGGGAGCGTTGCTTACAGAAACGGTAAGACCTAGTTTGCCTACAATCAAAGCTGCTCTCCCATAAGCAGGCAGTATGGGGCTGTCGCACAGCACTGTGGGAAGTGGGCGCTGCGAGCCAGGGATGGTCTGGTGAAGCTGCTGCTGAGTGGTGAGCGAAACAGGAAGCTGTGCAGGTCAGTGCGATGTGCTCTGCCAACACCTGCGTGACTGGCACATTCTTTAGACTGCAGACAGGCAAACCCTAGGCAAACCCTTCTGGCCCGTCGGTCCGCGAGTCTACTCCTTATCCATTTCCTTGAAACTGACACCAAAGACCTCAGGGATGATCAATCCCAGCCCACACACAAGCTAGACAATGAGATGACCTCGCTCACTGCCTGGAGGACTTCTTACTCTGCTCCCCAAACACCACGCTCGTCCGACTTTCATGCTAACCCTGACTGTTCCTTTTCTCAGTCCCTTTCTAATAAACAGTGGTGAATACTGGGGCTCCTTCATTTTTAAAAAATGATTTATTTATTAGATATACAGAGAGGAAGATCTTCTGTCCGATGCTACCAGAGCCAGGAACTTCTTCCGGGCATCTCGCATAGGTGCAGAGTCCCCAAGCTTTAGGGCCATCCTCCACTAGGCCACAAGCAAGGAGCTAGATGGGAAGTGAAGCAGCCGGGGTTAGAACCGGCACCCATATGGGATCCCGGGGCTTTCAGGCCCCGGCGCCGGGCCCAGTTTTATAGAGAGGAAGAACTTCCAATGAGAGTTCACTCCCCAGGCGGCTGCAACGGCTGGAACTGAGCCAACCCGACAGGAGCCTCTTCTGGGCCTGCCACGTGGGTGCAGGGTGCAGGGTCCCATAGGCCTTGGGCCGTCCACTGCTCTCCCAGGCCCCAGGCAGGGACCTGGGAAGTGGAGCTGCCGGGATTAGAACCAGGATCCCAGGCATGCAAGGGGAGGACCTTAACCACTACACCATCACGCCGGCCCTGAGGGCTCAGGCCTTTAAACCCTTCTTTAAATCCTTCCTTCTACTAGTTTTTCTAAGTAGTATCAGCTGCGTTAAGGCCTACGCTGTTATCTGTGCACTAACTCCCAAGGGTATCCTTTCTCTGACAGGGGCTTCTGTGGAGGTGTCCTACCTCCACAAACAAATGTGGAGGAACAGAAGATGAAAAGGAGCTGCTATGTGAGATGGCCCAGGTGACACAGGGCCCTGTGTGCCAGCAGGACTGCATCAGCCCAGGGTCCATGGCTTTGCTGCCCTCCCCACACTGGCTGCCTGGCTCGGAGCAGCTCCGTCTCCAACAGGTCAGCAACCATGTTGGCGCTGCCGCTCTTCCTGTGTGTGTTCCCTTAGCCTTGCATTCCCGCTAACCAATCCTTTCAAATGGAGGACAGAGAATTCAGTAATGGGGTCCTCACTGATAGAGCTGGCATATTCCAGGTTATACTGGAACTTTCCAAGACTATAAAACCAAACGAAAACATACAATATTTTTATATCTTTATTTTACAAAAATTTTTTCTTGATTTCTTCACTTGATTTGCAAGTTTACTCCTACACATTCTTTTCAGTGGAATGCTGTTCAACTGTGACCTATTTTTATAATTTACCCATTTTCTTACTGATTTTTTTTTTCCTTTTCCCTGGCCCTTACCCAAAACATAATCTACTACATGCTGAGGAACACGGTCTTAGTACTGTCACTTTTTTCCTTCGGTGTAGAATCCCAGCAGATCCATTAAGACCAGACTCAAACACTTTCAACCCAGGGAAGAGTCACAGTGCTGTCCAGTCTGTCACAACGGACACTTCCAATGGCAGCGTGTCAGTTTTTTCCCCCTAGTTTCCTTGTTGTTAGTAGGAAAATCACAACTTAGAAAGATAATTACTAGGTTTACAGACATTCGCGCAGGTTTTTTCTGTTACTTATGATCAGATGTAGTCACAATAACAATCTTCAGAAGTAAGAGAGAAGCTCGTGCGGGCTGCTGCCACTCGTGATTCCAATGCATGACTCGTGATAGCCTGAAACTTGTGAATTTAAAACCCAAGTTAAAACGGCATTATCTTTGAGTTACACACTTTTTGTTAAAAATAAAATGATTCACGGGAGAGACCACTGAGAAGTCTAAAAGGAAAGCACATGTACTAAGTTGATGTTTTGGCTTGACAGCAGTGAAAACCCCACAAAATAGAAGTGTCTAACTACAGAATACTGCAAGAATTCATTTCTAAAGTGGATTCTGCAGATACATTTTTTTTAAGATTTTTTTTTTATTGGAAAGGCGGATATACAGAGAGGAGACAGAGAGGAAGGTCTTCCGTCCGATGATTCACTCCCCAAGTGAGCGCAACGGCCGATGCTATGCCGATCCGAAGCCAGGAGCCTCTTCCAGGTCTCCCACGCGGGTGCAGGGTCCCAAAGCTTTGGGCCGTCCTCGACTGCTTTCCCGGGCCACAGGCAGGGAGCTGGAAGGGAAGCAGGGCTGCCGGGAATAGAACCGGCGCCCATATGGGATCCCAGGCGTGCAAGGCGAGGACCTTAACCACTTGCGCCACCGCGCCGGGCCCTGCAGATACATTTTTTAAAAACAATGAACAGTTTGAGTTTATTTTGCCTCTAAACTCTGATATGTAACTGCATCTGCCAACTACATAAGCACCCTACAGCCTTTTGCAAGACAATTCATAAAATACTAGAGAAACAGGGAAATACACAAAAATACAGGTGGTCTCTGGGTCACACGATATTTTGGTAAAAGACATGCACTTGTATGTGAATACCCCACTGAAAAGAATGTGTTGGGAGCACGGGCCGTTGGAATGGCCGCTCACTGGCCTTCAGTACTGCCTCCTTGGCTCACCCCTGCGTGATCACAGCGGACCCTGCAGGAAGCCCTCAGCACACCCAGACCGAGGGCAGCACTGTCTGATGCCAAGGGCGGTCCAACCTCTGTACCCCGGCAGGCAGCAGCCACAGCTGCAGGCCTCGCACCCCTGAACCGCATGTTGAATAGTTCATTTGGAACACATACCGGGGTAAGACGGTTCTAACGGCATCACGTTCAGCGTGGGAAATCCTGTTTGTGTCTAATTGTCACAACCTTGTTCCTTAGATTCACCTGTGCAGATTTAGAACACAATTTGAGCTGTGGCCACTATTCTGCGGGGTACTGCCTGCGCTGTCAGGAATGTCACACTCACTTGCAGGTGGCAGGCCCAGTGGACTGCCTCTGGCTGTATCTACGCCCAGACTTTCCACCTGGGTCAGCCCAGCTGAGCAGCACTGCTAGCCTGCACTGCACTGTGGGTGGCATTCTCTTGCCTGCTGCTCCGGCGCCATCACCGTGTGCTCATGTCCCCTCGGGACCTGCAGGCAGCGCTTCTCCTCGGCCGTGATTGGGAGTGCGGCCAGGCGGCGGCCTCAGGGCTTGTCCGCCCTGTGGACTCGCTGGTGCACACCGAGGCGGGACTTCCTGCTGAAGGCCTTCCCGCACTCGGAGCACTCGTAGGGCTTCTCCCCCGTGTGGATGCGCAGGTGCAGCCGCAGGGTCGACCTCTGGCTGAATGTTTTGCCACACTCAGTGCATTCATAGGGTTTCTCCCCCGTGTGAGTTCTCATGTGAATGATGAGCTGTGAGTTCTGGATAAAGGACTTGCCACACTCACTGCACTCATAACGCTTCTCCCCCGTGTGAATTTTCTGATGTATAATGAGGTTTGATTTCTTGAAGAAGGTTTTTGCACATTCGTTACACTGGTAGGGCCGCTCCCCAGTGTGAATTCTCTGGTGTGTAGTGAGTTCAAATTTCTGGGCAAATGTCTTCCCACACTCGCTGCATTCGTAGGGCTTCTTCTCCATATGCGCTCGCTGGTGCACAATGAGGTTGGACTGGTGGGTGAAAGCTTTCCCGCACTCAGGACACTCGAAGGGCTTCTCCCCGGTGTGGATCCGCTGGTGTTTGATGAGGTTGGCCTTATGAGAGAAGGTTTTCTTGCATACGTTACATTCGTAGGGTTTCTCCCCAGTATGAATTCTCTTGTGACTAATGAGGAGTGACTTGAAGGAGAAGGCCTTGTCACAGTAGTTACAGATAAAAGGCTGAACCAAATTTTTCATTTTTTGGTGTTTAAAAAGGCCTTTTTTATGGCCGAGAACGTTTGTACTCTCACTAAATTCAGGGCATTCCCTTCCAGGGTGTGCTTTTTCTTGTTTCAGGTACAGCAGCGGTTTGCCAAACCCATTGCAGCCTTCAGCTTGCTTCTTGACATAGCTTCTACTACTTGTAAGTAAGTCCGAATTATATTTCAGAGTTTTTTCGTACAAATCATACTTGTAGAGCACTTGTCTGGCGGACACACAGTCTGGGCTCAGCAGCAGCGGCCTCCCCCCGGGGCTCCCACGGGTGATGGAGGGCCTGGCTGCTGCCTCGGGGCTGCCGGCTTTGCCCTCCACCTGGTCATCAGCTTTCCAGACTTCTAGGACAGAGCAAACAAAACGCATGATGTCAGTCCTCTCAGTACAGTGTTACTGAACAGGGAGCCTATGTCCCGTCAGGACGCAGGAAGAAATAACGGGAGGAAATGGCCCATAAAAGGTTTTTTTTTTGTTTGTTTGTTCTGGGACCCAGTTTCAAAAACCCCCAGTGTCCCTATAGCAGCAGGTAACGCAGGGACTTGGGTTGGAGTCCCAGCTTCCGGCCCTCATGGCTGGGTCCCTGCTGCATACATGGTAGACCCAGCTTGAGTGCCCAGGTCACAGCTGCTGCTGCCACTTAGGGAAAATGGAACACTTAAAGACCTGTGTCTGCATCTCTGTATTTCCAATAAATTTTAAAAATTTAAGGTTTAAAATAAGAAAATACTTGCACTAGGCATTTATCTTAAATCTGTTAAAGTTTCTATAATTTTTTTTTCTTTCAGACTTTAAGTGGAAACTGAGAATGCACATGACAAAGTGAGCTAAAATCAAGGCAGTGGGCTATATATTCAGGGAGGCAGGAGTGCGTCCTGGGGGCACCATGGGGTACCATGGGCACCCTGGGCACCCGAGGCCACAGGTGGGAGGAGGAGGGGTAAGGCACTCGGGCGCGCCCCGCTGTGGGCTGCGAGCAGCATTTCCTACCAGCAGCAGCTCCTACAGGTTAGCAGAGCACATTCTGTCATCCAGCTCTACAGCTCCGAGTCCGTGATCCGATGGAAGTGACATGAGCACAGGCCACCCCAGGACGGCGGTGCGGAGGTCAGCCACACTGCTTTCCAGCTGCAGTGGCCTGACAGGGAATATTTTCACCATTATAGCTTACCTTTCTTTCTTAAACTCTAACTTATCTGAAAGGTAGAGAGCACTCCAAGGTCCTGCCCCGCCAGCCTGCAGTGCCCAGAGCCGGCCAGGCCAGTGTGGACTGTCACCTGTCACTACACAGGCACACAAGCAGCCCAGCTGGCAGCTTCATAAAGTTGTTCTCATTTAACATATTTAGGTTCTTCCTAAATCCACTCGTCCCTTTCATATGAATGGACCTAAAGGATCGAGTTACTCAGCAATTCAGGCCTTTAATCACCTTTACTTGACTTTCTGCTTTACTGCTTAAACCTGGTAAGTTTCTACTAAAAATTGTTTCAAAAGACATTTATTTTGTACTTCACATTAAAGACATGGCTACAGGGGACCAGTGCCATTACGTAATGGATAAGTCTCCCACCTGCAGGGCAGGTATCCCATATGGGTGCCAGTTTAAGTCCGGGCTGTTCCAGTTCCCATCCAGCTCCCTACTCATGGCCTGGGAAAGCAGCAGGGGGCGCTCCAGTGCTTGGGCTCCTGAACCCGTGTGGGAGTACTGGAAGAAGTTCCTGGCTTTTGACAGGGTCCCAGTGTACATTTTTGGATTTGACCAGCAGACACAAGCACAGAGCTCCTAAGTCTCTCTTTCAAATAAAAATAAATCTTTAAAAAAAAAAAAAGCACTCAAGGGGCCAGCCTGGGGGCTCAACAGGCGAATTTTCCACCTGCAAATGCCAAGCACCAGTTTGTGTCCCAGCTGCTCCAATTACAATCCAGCTTTCTGCTACGGTCTGGGGGAACGCAGCGGACAGAGCCTTGGGACCCTGCGCCCACATGGGAGACCCAGAACAAGCTTCTGGCTTCGGATCAGCTCAGGGAGTTGCAACTACTCGGGGAGTGAATCAGCGGACTGAAGATCTGTCTCCTCCTCCTCTGTAACTGTGCCTTCCCAATAAAGTAAATCCTTTAAAAATTTATTTTTATTGGAAAGGTAGAGAGACTGAGAGGAAGACCTTCCATCTGCTAGTTCACTCCCCAAGCAGCTGTAATGGCCAGAGCTGGACCCATACAAAGTCAGGAGCTTCTTCCAGGTCTCCCACACGGGTGCAGAGTCCCAAGGTTTGGGGCCACCCTCCACTGCTTTTCCAGGTAACAAGCAGGGAGCTGGATGGGAAACAGGGCTGTTGGGACATGAACTAACGCCCATAAGGGATCCCAGTGCATATAAGGTAGCCATTAGGCTACCGCACCAGGCCCCCAAAAAATCTTTAATAAAATAACATGCAGTTACAAAGAGATCTTCCATCCACTGCTTCATTCCCCAAATGGCCACAAACATCAGGGTTTGAGCCATCATCTTTCGCTGCTTTCCCAGGGCGCTAGCAAGGGCTAGATGAGAAGTAGAGCAGCTGGGACATGAATTGGGAGTCAGATGGGATCCCAGAGCATGCAAGGTGAGGACTTTAGCCACTAGGCTAATCATACCAGGCCCATGGGCAGTGGTTTTACCTGCTACAGCACAACACTGGCATTCCTAATGCCAACCTGCCCAGGAAAACACTACCTCTTCTGTGTGCGACACTGGTCTCCTCCTGGAGCCTACTGTAACAATCTTCATGAGTAAAAACGCAAACATAACCATTCCGGAAAACTAAGACCACTACCGCAAGATTAGCAGGGTTAGGCCAAGTGTCATAGCTGAGGTCTGAAGCAAATTACTAGGGGAAAAGGTTAAGCTAGGAGACTGGCACCAGGTGGTGCGATGCCCCAAATCCAAGCTCATCTGCCCTCAGCCATCTCTAGTGGGCAGATTCTGGAAAAAGTGTCCTTAGGATGCTGCTTCGAGTGGCTTCTGCCTGACTGTCCATCTCTTCTTTCCCTAAACAGTTTTGAACTCAGGGCCCGGCGCGATAGAGCAATGGTAAAGGTCCTCGCCTTGAACACACTGGGATCCCATATGGGCACCGGTTCTAATCCTGGCAGCTCCACTTCCCATCCAGCTCCCTACTTGTGGCCTGGGAAAGCAGTTGAGGATGGCCCAAAGCCTTGGGACGCTGCACCTGCGTAGGAGACCTGGAAAAAGTTTCTGGCTCCTGGCTTCGGATCGGCGCAGCTCTAGCCACTGTGGCCACTTGGGGAGTGAATCATCGGACGGAAGATCTTCCTCTGTCTCTCCTCCTCTCTGTACATCTGCTTTTCCAATAAAATAAATAAATCTTAACAAAAAAAGTTTTGAACTCGGAATTCTAACTGTGACATTCAAATCTCTTCCCATTGTTCAGATTTGAAATTCACACCTCATTAGAGAATAACAATTTAACTCCTGAGACTGCAGAAAGCTTGTTAGTAGAGGAGGCCAGCTGCACTGTGAACACCGAGCGCTCTCCCTGGCCACGTGTCCTTACCCACTGACAGCAGGTTGCTGTAGTTCTCCAACATCACATCCATGTACAGGATCCTCTGCGAGGGGTCCAGCTGCTCCCACTCCTCCTGGGTGAAGTCCACAGTCACATCCGTGAATGAGACGGAGCCCTGAAAGGGTGGACTGTCAGTCAGCCTGCCGGGAGGGGGCTGTGATGTGCAAAGGAGACCTAAAATCTCACTTCCAGGTGTTCTAAGTCATTCAGCATTACCGTCCACACATTCATTGCATTTCCTCTTGTGACATTTGTACAGAGAGACATGGACGTAAAGATTCAGCATCTGATGTTACAATATAGCACTGAGCCTCAAGGAGGCGTTGTTCTTGTGAAATCCCAAGAACAAAGAGCTCCTTAAAGCTTTCAAACAAAGGCAGACAGTGGATGTCCAATTCGAAAACAGTCTCAACCACATTTAGGATTTTAAAAACAGATTTAACAGCATATTAGATACAGCTGATTAGTGAACTAGAAGTCAGTAAAAATACCCAACTTGGGGCCAGCATTGAAGCACAGAAGCTAAGCTCCTGCCTGCAGTGCCAGCATCCCACATTGATGCCGGTTCAAGTCCCATGTCCTTGGACTCCTGTACCTAAGTGGGAGACCCAGGAGGGAACTCCTAGCACCTGGCTTCAGCCCAGCCACTTGGGGAGTGAACCAGCAAATGGGATGTTCAATCTTCCCCTCTGTAACTCCACCTCACAAATAAAATAAATCTTAAAAACAAACCTAGACTGAAACACTAAAGGTATAAAGGATAAAAAATACATCAGAAGTAGAAAGCATACGGGTGAGGGCCAGGTTAAAAAGGTATAACACAATTGCACCTAGAGTTCTAGCAGGAATGGCAAAATGCAGTCAAGCATATTTGAGAGACCACGAGAACTGTCCAGAACCGCTCACACCAACTTTCTTGAAATACCACTAACTTCAGGTAAGTAAATACAGAGTCCCCACACTTTGGTATATGATAATAAACCTGCTGAAAAATAACAGGAAAAAAATGAACCAATTCTGTCCCTATACACGAAAGCAGGTATAAACCAAATAAAACCTGAATTAGCAATACTGAAATCTGATCTCAATTTTCACAAAAGATAATACTCCTGATTCTTTTTCCGATCATAAAAAATGTGAAAACCGGGCCCGGCGCGGTGGCGCAAGTGGTTAAGTCCTCGCCTTGCACGCCCGGGATCCCATATGGGCGCCGGTTCTAATCCCGGCAGCCCCGCTTCCCTTCCAGCTCCCTGCCTGTGGCCTGGGAAAGCAGTTGAGGACGGCCCAAAGCTTTGGGACCCTGCACCCGCGTGGGAGACCCGGAAGAGGCTCCTGGCTTCGGATCGGCATAGTATCGACCCGTTGCGGCTCACTTGGGGAGTGAATCATCGGATGGAAGATCTTCCTCTCTGTATCTCCTCTCTGTATATCCGCCTTTCCAATAAAAAATAATAAAAATAAAATCTTTAAAAAAAAAATAAAAAATGTGAAAACCCCCAGCTGAGATTGTGTAGGGGATAGAACTGCCCCCTGCAATGCCAGCATCCGCTCTGGGCACTGGTTCCTGTCCGGCTGCTCCACCTCTGATCCAGCTCCCTGCCTGGCCTGGGAAAAGCAGCAGAGGATGGCACAGGTGTTTGGGCCCCTGCCACCACTGTGGGAGAGCTGGAGGAAACTCCTGGTTCCTTTCCTCCTGGCTAGGTTCTGGCCTCTGTGGCCCTCTCCAGAGTGAACTAATGCATAGAAGACACCACTTTGTATCTTCTTCTCTTACTTTTAAATGAAAAAGTCTTTTATTAAAAAAAAAAAAAAGATCTCAATCATAGGCTATGGATCATAAAAAAGAAAGAAGCCTACTTGGTCAATGGGCCACAATTTGACAATGCCTGATCAAGGATCAGGACTTGGATAAAATAAACATCATTATGTTAGGTATTATTACAATGTTTTAAAAATTCCAGATAGAATAAAATTAAACCTATTAAGATTCAGTTAGATGAAAATGAGTGCAGCAAGTAAGCAAAACATTTTAAAATGAGGAATTATGAAATGAGACATTGATTACGAAGCTGTTAATTTCTGGATGCCAGTCACTGGAAGTTCTGTTTGGGAGAAAGCACCTTATCTGGGAAGGTGCTACTTAAAATATCAAAGAAAAGAAGATAAGAATACCCAAGTATTCTGACAGGCCAGCAGAAGGGAAAGGGATTTTAAAAAATCAGTAATCTGCCCAGAGAAATCTATAGGTTTAATGTAATCCCTAAAAAATACCAGTCATATTCTTCATAGAATTGGAAAAAATACTCCCAAAACTGTGGGGAAACACACACTCAATGCTTCACACTGAAGCAGCAGGCACGGAACAACACCGAAGCCAGCCCACGCCCCGACAGCCAAAGGACAGGCTCTTGAATCAAAGATCCAAATGCAAGCTCAAAACCAAGGGAAACACTTCAGGACTTAATGATTTCAACATGGATTTTTTTGGATGCAACCTCAAAATTATGGACAATGAAAGCAAAAGCTGACAAATGGGATTACATTAATCTAAAAGTTTCTGCACAGCAAAGGAAAAATGAAAGGAAAAAAGGGAGGGAGGGAGGAGGTGGGGGAGGGAGGGAGAGACACAGAGACAAGAAAGCTACTGAGCAAACTCCTTGTCACTGGTTCACCTCCAAATGGCCACAACAGTCAGGGCTGGGCCAGACCAAAGCCAGGAGCCAGGAGCTTCGTTTGGGTCTCACGTGACTTCAGGGGCCTAAGTACTTGAGCCATCTTCTGTGGCTTTCCCAGGCACATCAAAGTGGAACAACAGCAGGGACACAAACCAGCACCCATATGGGATGTCAGCACTATAGCTCTAGCTTTACCAGCTATACCACAATGCTGAACCCAGTAACCTGTTAAAAAAAGGGGGGGGAGTGAGTATCAGGGCACAGTGCATTAGCATAGTGGCTAAAGTCTTCACCTTACACGTGCCAGGATCTCATATGGGCACCAATTCTAATCCCAGCAGTTCCATTTCCCATCCAGCTCTCTGCTTGTGGCCTGGGAAAGCAGTGGAGGACGGCCCAAAGCCTTGGGATCCACACCTATGTGGGAGACCTGGAAGAGCTCCTGGCTCCTGGCTTTGGGTTGGCTCAGCTCCAGCCATTGTGGCCGCTTGGGGAGTGAACCATTGGATGGAAGATCTTCCTCTCTCTCTTCCCCTCTCTGTATATCTGCCTTTCCAGTAGAAATAAATAAATCTTAAAAAAACAAAACAAACAAGAAAAAAAAAGAGCATCGCATACACCCACATACAACGTCTAATGTCTGCTACCTCTAAATTACAAGAATCCCTTTAGTGGTCAAGAAAATTCTAGCATTAATATAAAACAAACACGGGACTCTTAGCTCCAGCCCGGCCCTGCAAGAGCATCTGTGGCCTTTTGCGGAATTAAGCAGCAGATGGAATCTCTTTTTCCTCTTCTCCCTGAAGACTTTCAAACAAATAAATAAATCTTTAAAAAAGAAAAAAAAAAGACAGAGATAGGGCTGGTGCTGTGGTATACTAAAATAAGCCTCTGCCTGCAACACTGGCATCTCACATGTGTACCAGTTCAAGTCCCAGCTGCTCCACTTCTGATCTAGCTCCCTGCTAATGACCTGAGAATGCAGCAGAAAATGACCCATCCTTGGGCCCCATACTCAAGTGGGAGACCCTTGGTAAGAGCAGCCTGGCTCCTGGCTCGGCCTGGTTCTAGCTACTGTGGACATTTGGGGAATGAACCAGAGGATGGAAGATCTAATTATCTTCCTCTCTCTGTAACTTTCAAAATGATAATAATCATCATCTTTAGAGAAAAAAGAACATGTTATGTAGCTCCACACCAGAAACAGAAACGTAGACAGAATTCATGTATGACAGTGTACTGTAAATAAACAACCTCAATCTATTATAAAGGTATAAGAGGAAATCTGCCAAATGGTAACTACTTGCTACGGGGTGACTCAAGTAGCTGGTAATTATTAGGTCACACCATAGTGAAATTGTTGACATTGGCTCAACATACAAAATGGTAATTTCATAACACAACCTGATATGCTCTTTCATTTGTACTTCGGAGCATTTTTATACATCACAAAATTGTAAAAAAGCAAAAGATAGGAACTATAATCAGAACACTGGATACAAAGTAAAAAGTCTGAGTTTCAAGACAAAACAGGTCACATCTTTATCAGCAAACAGTATTTGCTTGAATTTCTTGACTACAACACTAAAAAGCAATGACTTCAAAAGACTAGGCAGGTACCAGCATCCCATAGGTACGCTGATTCGAATCCCAGCTGTTCCACTTCTAACTCAGTTTCCTGCTAATATGCCTGGGAAAGTAGTGGAAGACAGGCCCAAGCCCTCAGACGCCTGTACCTATGTGGGAGACCAGAAGCTCTTGGCTTTGAACCAGTCTAGCTCCAACCACTGTGGCAATCTGAGGGGTAAACCAGTGGATGGAGGAACTTTGCAAAACTGCCTTTCAATAAAAATCTAAGAAATCTTAAAAAAAAAAAAAGAAAGAAAAGAAAAAGATGAGCCTTTGTAGATGCTTGTCTTTTAAAACAAATCAAAAAGCCCTTATGAGCAAACAAGAAAAGCTCAACTTTTTTTTTTTGATTTATTTTATTTTTATTGGAAAGGTGGATATACAGAAAGGAGAGACAGAGAGGAAGATCTTCCATCCAATGATTCACTCCCCAAGCAGCTGCAACGGCTGGAGCTGAGCCAATCCGAAGTCAGGAGCCTCTTCCGGGTCTCCCACGCGGGTGCAGGGGCCCAAGGACTGCTTTCCCGGGCCACAGGCAGGGAGCTGGATGGGAAGCGGGGCTGCCGGGAATAGAACCGGCGCCCATATGGGATCCTGGGCGTGCAAGACGAGGACCTTAACCACTGTGCCACCGGGCCGGGCCCAAAAAGCTCAACTTTCTGAAGACCCCTCATTTATGAGGGAAGCCCCCACAGACACTGATGTTCAAAGAATTAAAAAGAAACAAAAACAACAACAACAAAAAAAAACTTGGATTTTACAGCTAGTAAAAATGTCCCCAAAGGTTTTTCTGACCTGACACAAAAGAATGGACTTGAGTAAAAGTGCTGCTCAGGTCTATAAAGCAACAGGGATTTTAGGGAAGGTAATAATATTTAAGTATTTTCAGGTCCAATGCGATAGCTCAGTGCTTAAATCCTCACCTTGCATGTGCCAGTTCATGCCCTAGCTGCTCCGTTTCCTTTACAGCTCCCTGTTTGTGGCCTGGAAAAGCAGTGGATTATGGCCCAAGTCCTTGAGTCCCAGCACCCACATAGGAGATTCTGAAGAAGCTTCTGGCTCCTGGCTTTGGTTCAATTCAGCTCTGGCCATTGTGACCACTTGGGGAGTGAACCAGCAGACGGAACTTTCACTCTTTCTCCTCTCTGTAAAATTGCCTTTCCAGTACAAATAAAGAAATCCTTTAAAAAAAAAAAAAAAAGCATTTTCATCCCCTCCAAAATTCACATTTAAACTTCATTCCCAATGGCACAGTACTGGGAGATGAGGTAGCTGGTCCATGAGGCCTGCTGCCCTCACCAGTGGCATCAGTGCACTTATAAAGGGCTTGGAGAAGGAACCTCATGTCCTGTGTTGCCCTTCTGCTTTCTGCCACTTGAGAACACAGCCCTGCTCCCTACCCACCCACTACAAGAGCACTGGAAATGAAGACAAAGTTGCTTAAGCAGAGACCAGACCTTTACTAGACACCAAACCTAGATGGAAAATGGAGCATCCAGCACTCAAATGTGCATCCTTGTGGGATAGCAGCATTACTACAATGCCAGCTTCTGCAGGCTCACAAATGCTAAAAACAAAACAAGCTTCAGCAGCAGAATATAAGAAGATGACAGAATAAAGCTTTACACTTGGAGAGTGAGCTATGTACCATACAAACAAAAATTACCTGACACACGAAACCGCACAATAAAATACACAAAAAAATTAAGGAGTAAAACAGTCTAAAAATAGAGTCAGGGGCAACTTCTGATGAAGAGCAAAGTATACAGAAGTTACCAGACACTAACTATCAAAAGTAGGTATGGCTTTATGTCAGATGAAGGGCAGACAACTAAAAAATGCACACATTACAAAATGATAAAAGGGTAAATCCATCAAGATAGAATACCAAATGTTCATGAAAACATACTCTCAGTGTGTAAGTAACATAGCTTCAAATTGCACCAAGCAAAACCAGGAAGAATTCCAGCAAAGGACAAATCCATTCATTATTTACCCATGAAATGCCAAGACAGAATGAAGACGTTTCGGAGAACATGAAGTCTTCACAGAGGCACCTTTAGGCTCGTCCTCAAGCTGCCACTGCACACACTAATGCAGCAGAAGCCAAACGAGGCACGGCCGTGGAAAGGGGTAGACACGGGCGCACAGTCCTCAGTTTGAATGGCAGTGATTTTCCACTGACGCAGATGGTTTGTAATACATATTGGAACAGGTATTTAAACATGACAGGATAGCTGATGTCACTGCCACTGTAATAATTCTTTTTTTTAAAGACTTGTTTTTATTGGAAAGGCAAATCAGATTTATGGAGAGAAGGAGACAGAAAGATCTTCCACCCACTGGCTTACTCCCCACATGGCCTCAATGACAAGAGCTGAGCATACTGGAGCCAGGACTTCTCCCAGGTCTCCCATGCAGAAGTAGGGTCCAAGGCCATCCTCTACTGCTGTCCCAGAGAACTGAATGGGAAGTAGGGCATCCGGGACAGGAACTGGCGACCATATGGGATCCCGGTACTTGCAAGGTGAGGAGTTAGCCATTGAGCTGCACCAGGCCCCATTGTACCTTTTTTTTTTCTTTCTTTTTTAAAGATTTACTTATTTTTATTGGAAACTCAGGTTACAGAGAAGAGGAGAGACAGGAAGATCTTCCGTCCTGCAGCCTCCCCTGGGTCTCCCATGCAGGTGCAAGGTCCCAAGGCCTAGGATTGTCCTCGACTGCAGGGAGCCAGATGGGAAGTAGGGCTGCTGGGACATGAACTGGCAGCCACATGGGATCCCGGTGTATGCAAATTGAGGATTCCAGCCAATAGGCTACCACACAGGGTCCCATTTTTTGTTTTTAACCTCGCAGCCCTAGTGAACCTGGCCCAGATTTTGGCTTGAGTTTTGTTTGTTTAACATTTCACTTGTTTTCTATTTTATTTAAAACACAAAGATACAGACATCACCCACCCACCAACTCATTCTCCAAATGTGCACACCAGCCACAGCTGAGTCGCGAGTCTGGCACTCAATCCCAGACTCCTGTGTTGCCGCCACCTGCTGTCACTCCGGGTGTGCATTAGCAGGGGCTGGACTAGAAATGGAGCAGATGAGACAACATCCTTCAGAAGAGGTAACTGTCGCCAGGACTTACCACTGCCAAATGCCCAAACTCTGAATTAGACTGCTTCCAATCACATAAGGACACTCATCTCATCTGAGATTAGCATCCTGTTTTAATCAATCCCTGAGACTCTGCAGGTGACCACTGGGCCAAGAAGCACAACACGCAGAGCATCATACTCGCTTGATGATGCCCACATTCCTGTCAGACATTCAGTACCTGATCCAGCATGACCTTGCCAGGGCCCTTACTGTGTTAGGCCTGCTATTTCTCGTGACCTTGACAGCAAGTTCCCCAAATGGGACCCTTGCAAATGCTCAGGTAAGCTACAGCTAGATGGTGATCTGGAGATGCTCCTGGGCACGTTTCCCCAGAAACCGTTGTCCAACAGTGGCAAAATGCCTGGATGCTGCTCTGTGCTGCTCTCTCTGCCCTCTCCACTAATCAGATAATCACTAAAAATTAATTAATACTGGGCCTGGTGTGATAAGGGGCTAAAGTCCTAGCTTTACACATGCCAGGATCCCATATGGGAGCTGGTTCTAGTCCCGGCAGCTTCACTTCCCATCCAGCTCCCTGCTTGTGGCCTGAAAACAACTGAGGACAGGCCAAGATCCTTAGGACCTTATATGCACATGAAGACCCAGAAGAGGCTCCTGGCTCCTGGCTTCAGACTGGCTCAGCTCTGGCCAATGCAGCCACAGTAGATGAATGATCTTTCTCTACATCCATCTGCCTTTCCAATAAAGAATAAAATAAATGACGCCTGTCCTTAACAGCTCAAAACATCCTCTGTGTGAAGGTCCATAAAATTTATTCCCATCTAAAAGAAAGAACCAGAGACCTGGTATTAGTACAAGGCATCGACACTGGTTTGCTTTCCATCTGCTGGTATTGGTCAGTTATTCTTGCTACGTTCTTTAGTTTTATTCATTTTCACCTTCTTTCTCTCCCAAATGCACTGAAAGCCAAAGCAAGAAATACACAACTCACCTGGGACTTGTTCATTTTCTGCAGTTTCAGGGTAAAAGCAGAGAACTGTGGGCAGAACTGCAATAGAGGAAACAGGAAGGAATGTTAATAAACATTTGACCTCTTCCTGCCTCTCGGAAACCCCGACCCTCTGTGTGAGAAGCGACCACCTCCCAGCAGTGTCCACTGCCCGGCAGAAGGAGCGGACAGGATCACCCAGGCCACAGCCACCTTCCATCAAACTTCAGACACCCAAAAAGGCCAGGCACAGCAACCCAATTAACACAATCAACTGAAACCTCGGCTGCTGGAATTCAGATAGGGAATGACCTGTTCATTTATACTTGTCTGAAAGGCCACTAGAATTACAGAAAAGGAGAGACACAGAAGAGATCTTCCATGCATTGGTTCACTCCCGAAAAGGACACAAAAAGGATGAGCATCTGGTCCAAAAATACGATGAGCGTCTTCCTCTGGGTCTCCCACGTGGGTCCGGAAACCCAAAGACTTCAGCCATCTCTGCTGCCTTCCCAGGTCGTTAACCGGGGGCTGATCAGAAACGCAGCTGCTGGCATTTGAACTTGCTTTTACATGGGGTTTTGGCACTGCCGGTGGAATCTGAGGCTGCTATTCTGTGGCACTGGCCTCCCTAGACGTAGAATTTAAAGCGCCTATGATCCACACACTAAGGCTTTAATGGGAAAGGTGGACAACATGAATCAATACACAAGGGATTTATTTTATGCATTCATTTGAAATCTGGCATTGTGACTCCACAGAACATTAAAATTTAGGCCAGTCTGTTTCCATAGGATAATTTATATCTTGTATCAGAAGAAAACAAAAAAAAAAAACCTTCTAACACTCTTTCATCCTGAATTCTTATGGGAATTATTGCATGTCTACTGACAAACAAGAAATTTCAGCAAAGGTAAAAATTGTAAGAAAAAAATCAAATAAAAATAGTAAAAAAAAAAAAAAAAAAAAAAGAAAGAATGCCTTTACTAGGCATTAGTAAATTCAACACAGATAAGGAAGCTTTCAATAAATCTGAGGATAGGTCAAAAGAAATTATAGGGCCTGGTGCTGTAGCCTGTAAGCTAAAGTCCTCACACTGCATACACCAGGATCCCATGTAGGCACCAGTTCTAGTCCCAGCGGCCCTGCTTCCCATCCAACTCCCTGCTTGTGGCCTGGGAGAGCAGTTGAGGATGGCCCAAAGCCTTGGGGCCTGCACCCACATGGGAGACCTGGAAGAGGCTCCCAACCTCTAGGGTTTAGATTGGCTCAGCTCCTGCTGTTGTGGCCGCTTGGGGAGTGAATAATCAGACAGAAGATCTTCCTCTCTGTCTCTCCTCCTATCTCTATTTGACTTTCCAATTAAAATAATAATAAGTCTTTTAAAAAAAATATAAAATCAGAATAAAAGGAAATGGAATGGGAAAAAAATAATCCTATATGCAAAAGTTGTCAGACAGTATCAAATGGTACAACAAATATGTAATGGGAATTCCAAAAGGAAGGAAATATTTGCAGATATAGGGGTCCAACCTTTTCTCAAACTAATGCATGATATCAAACTAGGACAGCTCAGATATCTTGCACAAAAGGAATCAACACCAAAACACAATGGCCACATCTTCTCCAAAGCTGGGGTAACCAAGGCTAAACAAAGCCCTCAGCAGGCACGGGGCCGGACTCCCGGCAGACCACAGTCCCTGCTCACCACAGCCACACACGCCAGAGGACAATGCGCTGACATTTTTTAAGTGCTTTGAGGAAAACAAGCAACTAATGCAAAAAACCACTAAGCCAGAATTCCACTCAGCAAAACACAACACAATATGAATCCAAGATTTTATGCCAAAATTTTTTTTTCTAAAAAAGTGAAATAAATTTATTTTTATTTTTTTTTAAGATTTTATTTATTTATTGGAAAGTCAGATATACAGAGAGGAGGAAAGACAGAGAGGAAGATCTTCCGTTCAATGATTCACTCCCCAAGTGAGCGCAATGGCCGATGCTATGCCGATCCGAAGCCAGGATCCAGGAACTTCTTTCAGGTCTCCCACACGGGTGCAGGGTCCCAAAGCTTTGGGCCGTCCTCAACTGCTTTCCCAGGCCACAAGCAGGGAGCTGGATGGGAAGTGGGCTGCCGGATTAGAACTGGCGCCCATATGGGATCCCGGCGGGTTCAAGGCGAGGACTTTAGCCGCTAGGCCACGCCACCAGGCCCGAAATAAATTTATTTTTAAATAAAATCAAAATTAATTATTAAATCTATACCAGAACTATATTTAGAGAACTTCTGTGGGCATGTGTCCAGATTCCATACAGGCACCGGTTTGTGTTGGCTACTCTACTTCCCATCCAGCTCCCTGCCTGTGGCCTGGGAAAGCAGAAGATGATGGCCCAAAACCTTGGGACCCTGCACCTGCATGAGAGACCCAGAAGAAGCTCCTGTATCCTCACCATGGATCAGCTCAGCTCCAGGGATTGTGGCTATTTGGGGAGTGAACCAGCAGATGAAAGATCTCTCTATGTCTCTCCTTTCTCTGTAACTCTGATTTTCAAATAAAAATAAATCTTTTTAAAAATGTCTCCTAATGAGTCTAAAAAAACTTGTCTAGGGCCCGGCGCAGTGGCGCAGTGGTTAAGATCCTTGCCTTGCATGCCCGGGATGCCATACGGACGCTGGTTCCATTCCCAGCAGCCCCACTTCCCTTCCAGCTCCCTGCCTGTGGCCTGGGAAAGCAGTCGAGGACGGCACAAAGCTTTGGGAACCTGCACCCGCGTATCTCCTTCTCTCTGTAATCTGACTTTCCAATAAAAATAAATAAATCTTGGGCCAGGCGTGGTGGCCTATTGGCTAAAGTCCTCACCTTGAACATGTAGGGATCCCATATGGGTGCCGGTTAGTGTCTTGGCACCCTGCTTCCCAGTCAGCTCCCCGCTTGTGGCCTGGCAAAGCAGTTGAGGGTGGCCCAGGGCCTCAGGACCCTGCACCTGCACAAAGACCCAGGAAGAGGCTCCTGGCTCCTGGCTTTGGATTGGCTCAGCACCGACCGTTGCGGTCACTTGGGGAGTGACTGAACCCTGTAATTCTGCTTTTCAAATAAAAATAAATCTTAGGGCGGGGCACAGTAGCCTAGTGGCTAAAGTCCTCACTTTGCACATACCAGTATCCCATATGGATGCTGGTTGTGGTCCTGGCAGCCCCCCTTCCCATGCTTGTGGCCTGGGAAAGCAGTCGAGGATGGCCCAAAGCCCTGGGATCCTGCATCAGTGTGGGAGACCCAGAAGAGGCTCCAGGCTCCTGCCTTCAAACAGGGACAGCTCCGGCCGTTGCTGACACTTGGAGAGTGAAACAACAGACAGAAGACCTTCCTCTCTGTCTCTCCTCCTTTGTGTACATTTGACTTTCTAATAAAAATAAAATAAATCTTTAACAAAACAAAACAAAAACAAAGAGCCCAAAACAAAAATGGAGAAAGTTAGCATGTTCCTGGATTGGCAGGATCCACAGCATCAAAATGCCCATATTACCAAAAAATGAATAATAAATAAACCTAAAACAAACAAACAAAACCAGACTGATGGAATCATGACTACTATTGTGATAACATGGGGAAAATCAGTCGGGCGGTGGGAATTTGGTGGCGGGGGGTGGGGAATATCCCAGACCCTGTGGAATTGCACCATAAAATTTTTCACAAATTTTTTAATGAGTCTAAAAAATTTTGTAAAGCAAAAATAGTAACAACAATTATGGATTTTCAGTACATGTAAAATAATATGTATGACAATAATGGGAGACTGAAATTGAAAGCATACTGTTATTAAGTACACATACATGTCCTTGATCAATTTTAAACGTCCATTACGAACCCTAGCATAACCACTGAAGTTTTTATAAACTTTTTCTAAGAATAAACCTTAAGCTAATCCTGGAGGTGAAATGAAATAATTAAAAGTACCCATTTATACAAAAAAAAAAAAAAAAAGGGAGAAAATCAGGAAATTAGGAATAAAGATCAAGTAGGACATATAGGAAACGAGCAGTGAGTTGGTAGGCTTTAACCTGACTGTATCAACAATCGGTATAAACACATCGGTTAAACAAGATGTCAAGCTACAAAAAAAAAAAAAAAAAAGACCACACTAATTGTTGTTCATAACCATCTTGTTCTAAATATAACACAACTAAATAAATATGATGAAAAAGCTGCACCTTGCAGACTACCAAAGCTGGAATGACCATATTAATGCCACAGTAAACTTCAGAAGGCCAATTACCAGGAATTAAGAAGAAACATCACATGAGCATGAATGTGTCGAGACCTCACAATCCCAAACGAACATGCACCTGACACAGTAACGCCAAAATACAACCAATGTTGATAGACTGAAAAAAAAGATAAAAGCCCAACTATAACTGGGTACTTCAACACTTTTCTCTCAAAACCACAGAAACAAACGCTGAACAACACTATCAACTACCCCTGCCCAGTGAATAGTTAACAGAAGACCCCACCATCAAAGCACAATATTTACTCAGGTATACATAAAACATTCAACAGGATGTTCCATTTTTGGAACTGGTGCCTTGGTGTAACACACTAAGCCTCTGCCTGCAGCAATGGCATCCTATAAGGGCACCATCTCTGACCCAGTTCCCTGCTCATGGCCTGGAAAGGTAGTGAAGGATGGCTCAAGTCCTCGGGCCCTTGCACCTACATGGGAGACCTGGAAGAAACTCCTGGCTCCTGGTCAGTTCAGCTGATCATCCATTGGGATCCCAGCACATAGGTAAAGGACGAGCCACCTACGCCACAGTACTGGCCCCAAAATATTTCATGTTCTTAGCCCCAAAACAGATCACAACAAACTTAAAGGACTGAAATTTACAATCTATTTTTTGACCAAAATAATAATTAAGTTACAGGTCAGTAACAGAGATCTGGATACATTTATAAATCAGCAACAGGTAAAAAATGAAGCTACAAAGTAAAGTTTGAAAAACAGACTTTGAACTAGCTCAAATCCAGTCACTGCTAGCAACTTGGGAGTAAACCTGCAGAGGCAAGTAGCTCCCTCTTTCTTTCTGTGACTCTGCTCTTCCAAGAAATCTTTTAAGTATTTTTAAAAAACTGAATGATAATGAAACAGATTTACAGAGGCATTTTATTTGTTTTTTTTTTTACAGAGACATTTTAAATATTAAGAATATTTATATTGGTAAAAATTGTTTTTAATTTTAATTTTCTCTGATGACAAGCTTTTTATTTTATAATCTATACATTTTCAGTGTGTGATGTTTTGTTTTTTTTTAAAGATTTATTTTATTTTTATTGGAGAGGCAGATTTATAGACAGAAAGATCTTCCACTGGCTAGTTCACTTCCCAAATGTCTATAACAGCCGCAGTGGAGCTGAGTTCATCAGAAGCCGGGAGCCAGGAGCTTCTTCCAGGTCTCTCCCACATTTGCAGGGTCTCAAACCTTTGGGCCGTATTTCTGCTTTCCCAGGGAGCTAGACAGGAAGCGGAGCTAGACGGGAAGTGGAGCAGACTGGATACGAACCAGTGCACATATGGGGTGCCTGAGCTTGCAGGTGGAGGATTAGCCAGTTGAGCCATCACACTGGCCCTGTAAAAAATGTTTTAATGAATGGCTTCAACTACCACCTCATGAAACCAGGAGGGAAAAAAAGACCCAATGGAGAAATATAGTGAACCCACAATCTGGTTATAAGAATAGATTAATAGAAGTAAAAAACCTCTAGGTGTTCTAAAACAGTCCAGGAGACATTACTATAGATGTTACAGACATTAAGAAGGTACCCCGCCACCATAAAGAACCAGGTACCCCTTTAAGACAAAAGGGAGAAAATGCCTAATATACTAAAGTGAGAACACCAGCAAGCCCAGGATAAAATAATACAAAACCAATGACCTGGGGAGTGGTAACATGCTACACAAGAATAAGGAAAAGTAAAATTTTTGAATTGTAGAGATGTCACGTTGTGGCACAGCAGTGAAACTGACACCTTAGATACCAGCATCCCACACACACATGGGTTCAAGCCCCAGCTGCCCCACTTAAATCCAGCTCCCTGCTAAGGCATTGGGAAAGCAGCCAGTGGATGCCTGGCCCCAGCTATATCGCCATTTGTGAAGAACCTTTAAGGGACTGACCCTTCCCTGCCTCTCAGTCTCTAACTCTACCTTTCAAATAAAATGAATGTTAGAAAAAGTAAGTTCATAAACGGTCGAGGGTGAGAAAACAGGGAGTATAGGAAGACGGAATAGTATACCTCTAACGTGACAATTAATGAGCTCACAAAGTATCAAGCATTTCTGCCTTTTGCTTTTAAACTGAAAGGTCTTGAGACAGCAACCAGAGGATGGAAGATCTGTCTCTCCCTCTCTGTCTTTCAAAACCAATCTTTAAATACATTTCTAAGAAGTCTATATTTAAAAAATGGAAACCACCTGGAATCTACAAAAAGATGCAAGTGCGCTAGACAGGCAGCTGCGTGATCTTGGGAAGTCGTTCTTTCTGAAGCTTTTCCATTTGCTGATAAAACACGGAAAAGGCGCAGGGTAGACGGCGGAGGACAGGGCACGGCGGTGGCATCAGGGACCCGCCGGCAGCTCCAGCGCACCGGGCACGGCCGTGGCATCAGGGACCCGGCGGCAGCTCCAGCGCACCGGGCACGGCCGTGGCATCAGGGACCCGCCGGCAGCTCCAGCGCACTGGGTTACGTCCAGGGCATCAGGGACCCGCCGCCACCTGCTATCCTCCCGGGTCTACCACGCAGCGCGGCATCCGGGGCGTGGCCAGGCAGGCGGTCCCGCTCCCGCCGGCCCGGTTCGACCCGGTTCGGTCCCGCCCGCCCAGGCTTCCGGACCCCGGCTGCCCGTCGCCGCCCGTCGGAGGCACGTCTCCTGACAAAGGGCAGAAGGGAGCTCTCTCGCAGCCGCCGGCCGCCGCGCCGCGCCCGCTCCCGCATGCCCGGCCGGGCGGGTCGCGGCGGTTCCGCCCGTCGGAGGGCACGGGGCAGCCGCGGACGCCGCCCCGAGGGTCCCTCGCGCCGGCGAGTCGCCCGAAGTTTGGGTTCCCACCCCGCCCGGGCACGAAGCCATCCCTCACTCCCTTCCCGTCAGCCCCAGGCCGCACAGTGCCGTCCCGCGGGCTCCCTCCTACCTGGCAGGGCACGGCTTCCACGCGCGGCTCGAGGCCAGGCAGGGTCACGGCGGGGAGCGGCCGCCACGCGCGGGGCCCGCGGCCCTGTCACCCGCTCGCGGATGGAGGCGGGGGAAGGGCGGCCCGCGGCCCGCTTGCCACGCCACGCATGCGCAGGACGGGGCGGCTCGCCGTTCCCAGGGTCCTCCGGGGGAGGGGTCTGGCGGTCCTCGGCCTACATTTCCCACAAGTCTTCGGGGTCGCGCGTCAGGGACACTGAGGAAAGTCTCCGCCTCCGTTAGAGGGCGGGGTGAGCATTTCCCGCGGAGTTTACAACCCACCACCTCCTCTCAAACTACAAAAATCGTACATTTTTAAAGCTAACGTTGTATTTCCATTTGAAACTATAAGGAAGCAAGTTATCGCGCGTGCTGGCGCTTTCCAGAGGCACTGACGTTAGGCTCACAGGCTTTTAACAAAATTGGCTGTAACGTGCTCCAGCTGCTTTCTTTTCAAACACACCAGCTTTATGAAGGCAGAGTAGACTGTTACATAAAGTGCACACCTTATGATTTAGATTACAAAGCGTTATAGTGGCCAAGTATAGATTATATAGTTAAGGTGTACAAGGTGACCAGTTGATACAACTCGTGAAATACCACAGGTAATGAACACGGCCCCGCCTCACACAATTACCACTTTCGTGTATTGGGCAGTGAGACCAGTTAAGAGTTTCTGAGCTAATTCAAGGGAAACAAGGTGAACCTCAATCACCTGTTGGACATTAGGGCTTCAGAATGTACTGGAAGACTTCACATCCCTTGGCCCACAACCCCCTCTCCCCACCCTCAAACCCTTGTTTCAACTGTTAGAGCACTTACTGAGTTTTCAGCAGAAGTACCCCCTTTGCTGTAACAAAGTCACAAGCCAACCCTCCACCCACAACATCTCACACTGGAGTGGAACTGTTGCTACAATGGAGGAAGCTTCACAACAGACGTCGCTGTAGGTTTTGTCAAATGGCTGATGACACACGTCATCTAGAACATTCTTCATTTTTTTCCTGTTTCCCTAGTGCCGCCTTGTCATACTATCAACTGGCTGGAGCATGTAGCTTTTTACCTTCACTGATGAACCCATAAGTACCATCAGCCTATATAAAGGATGCACAGAATTGAAAACCGGGGACTTCATGGGTTAAAGTGCATTTAAGTTTCCTCCATGTCTTTTTATGTTTTGCTACCTCATTTCTTTATATTGCTGCATAGTATTCTACTTTCTGGACATATCAGTCTATCCACTCTCTTACTGAAGAAAATCTTGCTTTCATCCAAGCACTAGCCACTCTGCATAAACACCTACTTGCAGGTTTTTTTTTTTTAAGATTTATTTATTTTTATTGCAAAGCCAGATATACAGAGAGGAAGAGAGACTGAGAGGAAGATCTTCCCTCCGATGATTCACTCCCCAAGTGACCGCAACAGCTGGTTCTGCCCCGATTCAAAGCCAGGAGTCAGGTCAGGAGCTCTTCCAGGTCTCCCATGCGGGTGCAGGGTCCCAAGGCTCTGGGCTGTCCTGAATTGCTTTCCAAGGCCACAAGCAGGGAGCTGGATGAGAAGTGGAGCTTAGGATTAGAACCGGTACCCATATGGGATCCTGGTGTGTTCCAGGTGAGGACTTTAGCCTCCAGGCCATCGCGCCGGGCCCTACTTGCAGGTTTTGATCTGGGTAAGTTTCTGGCCTGCCTGCTGGATGGGATGGTGTTAGTAGGTCTGGCTTTGTGGTAGATGACCAAACTATCTTCCAAAGTAGCTATACCATCTCGCATTGCCAGTGCCAACAAACAAAGAGCCCTGTGTGTCCTCACCAACATTTGCTGATGTCGGGGTTCTGGATTTGACCTTTCTAACAGGTGTGTGTGTGTGTGTGGTGGTGTCAGCTGGCTTTGAATTCAAACAAGGCACTGGAATGAGAAGTTGCCTCAGTATCAGGTGCCTGGTTCAGTTCCTGGCTCCTCCACTTCTGGTGCAGTTGCCTGCTAACCAGCCCAGGTGACAGGCAATAACCCAAGTGCTTGGCTGCCCGCACCTGCTCGGGAGACCCAGACAGAGCTCCTGACTCCTGGTTTTAGCTTGATCCGGCCTGGCTGTGGTGAGTGTCGGGGAAATGAGGCATTGTTGTGAGAGTTCTAGCTCTGTAATTTAAAAAAAGAAAGAAAAACAAGGCCTTCGATAAGAAAAATAGGCTACACATATGAATATACAATTAGCGAAATACAGAGAGTGATATATTTATCAGAAATGTTTATCTTTACTAAATCTAAAAAAAAATCATAATATTAAAACATTGTTTTTACCTACCAGATGGCCAGCACTTAAAGAGTAATAATGCCGTGGGTAGGAATAATTGGTAAAAACACGTTTACACAATTCAGATCGACCTGTAAAATCAAAATCTTTACAAATCATTCATTATATTAAAATGTAACAGGGTCCATGATCCTCACATTGGATCTTGTGCACAAGCTATTCCTTACACTGCTGGTCTAAGCGACATAAACTGGCAACAGCAAGCAGAACTGGAGGATCTGTTGGAGAGGAGGACAGGTAATAATCGCATAAGGAAGTGTCTAATCCACTGAGAAATCAAAAACTGCAGATCACACAAGAATATGTAAGTGTGTGATCTGAGTTCTGTAAAAAAAAGTGCATGTTTTAACAGAATAAACACTAAAATATTCAAAATGAAGGGAAAATGTCCCTCCACCCACACATTCTCTCTCACACACACCCCCCATGACTTCCCCTAAGCACCTTATGCAGACAAACCCTAAGCAATCACTTTGCATGTGGCCTGCTTTCTTTTTTTTTTAAAGACTTTGTACCACTTACAATCACATTTTTTCTTGATCTCTCTTTAGAAATAAAGGAAGTTGGTTGTTTTGCTTTGTTTTTGGAAACCAGTGGGTATTTAAACATTGCCTTGACTGACTTCCCGCTAAGATAGCAGTGTGTCTTCCGGTCACTCGTCCTGTTCGCCCTAGTGGCTGTTGACTCTCCTTTCTGGCACGCAGACACTGAGAAGTGGAAATCCTCAGCAGGAACTCCGGATCGAACTCCAGCAGGAACTCCCACGTGAGTGGTGGGAGCTGAACGACTTGGGCCATCCTCTAGACCCTCCAAGGGTCTGTGTCCACAGGGAGCTGGAATCTGCAGCCAGAGCCAAAACTGAGCCCACTCTGGTGAGGGGCATAGATGTCTTCATAGCTAAATGCCCACACCCCCAATTCCACTTCTGTTGCACCACCCACTGCTTGCTGGGGTGACACTATAGGATATAAAGAGACCGTAATGATAATAGGTCTCAACAATAAGTGTAGCGAATGCTCAAAGTGTCAACAATAATGGGGCTTGTCCATAGGATAGTCACAAACATTTTTCCATGTTTATTTACTTGCAAAAGTGAGGTCACCATGTGGCACAATCATGGATCATGACACATGATCACATCAATGAAGGTTTTGTCCTTTGTTACATTAAAACTCGTTGATTTTTTTTTCCTTGTACGTTGAATAAAGCTTTTATCTGGGCATGCTCTGTGACATCATGCCTTGATCAGTTGATAAACACTGGTTCACTGAGCCAGGCAGATCTTGCAAAACACTGATCCATTGAATTGCACAGTATTAAACAGCCACATTAATACTCACCAGTGGCCTCATCGGAGAAGCTTCAAGTACCAGGAAGCATATGTGGATTTTTCAAAATTCTATGTCACATGAAGGCTCACCTTAGCACTAGCGCAGTCTGATGCTGGCGCCAGCACTATGGCCCTCCAACTGCTCTGTCATCAGTATCAGCGTCAGCATAAGGCCACAACAACACACATGAAAATAGCCTTGGCTGCATGGAGCCCTTCCAGAGGGCGCTAGACATCCCAGGAGGGTGTCAAACATGTATCAGGCCTAAAGATAATGCCATCATCACGCACTAAAAAGAATGGAGATGTCTGCTTACTAGTCCTCCCCTACCCAGCTGGTATTGGCAGTTCTCAATTCTCTTCATAGACATCATCCTTCAGATGTTGAAGACTCAAGATGCAGACTGCAGGTGTCTGATGACATTTGATTTAGAGGTTCTTCCCTCCACACAGCCTCTCTTGGCCTTCACTCTTTGCTGTTAATGTGCTGGCAACACTGGGTGGTCCTGGCTTTGCCTGATCCTGTTCGGTTTCAGCTGTGCCAGTTTGAATGTGTCCCATGACACCTTCAAAGCTGTACTCTCGGGTATGGTCTCACACCGTTTACAGAGGGCTGGAGGCGGTGGCTGGCAACATTGGTTCCCACAAGCTCTCAGCCCTCAGCTCACCTCTCTTCTGCCACAACATGACACATCTAGGAGGTCTTTACTAAGGGTGACAACTCAACGCTGGCCTTCCCAGCAAGAAAGAAATCTCCATTCATTCATTTTATGTTTTTTAAAAGATTTATTTATTTTTTATTGGAAAGGCAGATGTACAGAGAGGAGGAGAGACAGAGGAAGATTTTCCGTCCGATGATTTACTCCCCAAGTGGCCACAACAGCCAGAGCTGCACCGATCTGAAGCCAGGAACCAAGAGCCTCTTCCGAGTTTCTCACATAGGTGCAGGGTCCCATGGCATTAGGCTGTCCTCAATTGCTTTCTCAGGCCACAGGCAGGGAGCTGGATGGGAAGCGGAGCTGCCGGGATTAGAACCGGTGCCCTTATGGGATCCTGGCGCATTCAAGGTGAGGATCTTAACCACTACGCTATCGCACCGTGCCCAATCTCTGTTCATTAAGTGATCCACTCCACAGGACAAAATAGAAACCCCAAGTCTGAACTTCTATTCCTGCATTTGGACTTTGGCCTAAAAGTTAAAGATGTAGATGAAGTTTTGCTTATATACTAGCAGCCACACCCTCTTCCTGGTCAGACTGTGGAATCCTCTGTCTGAAGTACTAGGGCTCACGTATTTTTTTATGCTCTTCTCCTTGTTTTGGCATTCGTGTAACCAAGTGCATTGTGCCTTTGCTGAGTGGCAGGCATCACACCTGGGCAGAGCTGTGA